ATACGTGACACAGTCCCTGTCAGCGAAAGGCCGAGCCAATATGAGCTGGTGGTTTGAGTTATGTGCACAGGTTGTAAAATAGACCTCAGCTGATAAGTATATCCTCAGCAGATTCCCCAGCTGCTACATAAAATTTTGAGTTAATGGCGTGTCTCTTAATATTTCTGAGTTTATTTATGGAGGATGAGAAATAAGCCTTCTACTGCACCAGGTGTATTCTGGAGCAATAGGCTCTAGGCTTCTCGGAGTCTCTCACTGCACTGGGCTGACCTTTTGGCCAGGTCCAGCTTCTGAATGGTCAGAGGACAAAGAAGAAACCCTGAAAACCCTCTTCAGCTTTGTCCCTCAAAAGGCTATGCCTCAGATCGCTGTCAAAATGTCTCAACTGAGAATGTTGATGGCGTTTTCTTTCTACAATTTCCAAGAATTGAAAGCTTTGCAACCTTTTCATCTCCTGTTTTGTAGAATTTTTTTAAAAGGAGGATTTCTTGTAGCCATGACTTAGATTGCTTCTGTCTCGTCTCCTGGTAGGAATCTTTTGTTACAGTTTCAAAGAACAATTTCTTCAGCAGCAGAGCTGACTTCAGAGGTTTCTGGCTGCTCTTTCCTACATCGTGCTGCAGCTCGCCACCCACTCAGTTCTGAAAAAAAGCGTTCTGCATGGAGACTACGTGCATAAGATCACTGATACAGTCCATGTTAAAAAACAGGATTGTGTTGGGTTTCTTCCTTAAACGTTTCAACTTGGTTCACTGGTCATGGGGTCACCTTAGCCACGGGGTCCTGCCCAGGTGTCAGGGAAGTAAGCAACATAAGCCAGACTTGCTAGCACAGAGTCTATGGGATAACTGGAGACTTGAGAGAGAGCAGTGAGGTTTTTCTGGGTCAGTAGTGTGCCGGCAGGCAACTCATTCTTTTATAAGGGACCAGAGTGGACAATTTAGGGTAGGTAGTGTCCTAAGAATCATGCGATTAAAATGACTGAAATGGGCAACAGCAAAACCCAGTCCTATTCTTTCAGCTAATTATATACATAGTCTGGAATAATAATCCTAATTTG